TGCCCCCCATCCCAAGATGGCATGGCACCCAGAGACCCCTCCCCAATCACTCCCGAGTGCCCCCATCCGCGCAGGAGGAACCGGGCCTGGGGAGGGGGCGAATAACTAACCACCCTCGTGGCCTTCCCTAACAATCTGGAAGGGCTGCATAGATGTTCATGTGTTAAACTTGACCCCCCCCACACACACACAACCCCTTACTGATCCCCGGTTTGGGCACGGGGAAACTGAGGCACGGGATGGCCTGCATTCTCATGGTTACATAATGACAGCAAAGGGACCGGGGCTAGGCGCCCCTGACTTCTAACCCACCCCACCTCCTCTCCTTTCAGAGCTAGAGAGAGAACCCAGGAGTCCCGCGCTGGGCCGGCTACAGCCAAGCACCAAAGCGCTGACCGCCTAAAAGGCCCTAGGAAGTAGGGCACCATCCCTCCACCAAAGACAGAAAGGCAGCGAGAGACAGGGAGTATCTGCCCCCGCCCCAGTAGCGAATACTTGGGGGGAAACAGGGAAAGGCAGGACTGAGATGCCGCCCCCTCTTGCTCACCACCTCCAGCCACTGACATAGAAAGATTCCGGGTCCCCAAGTCACTATGTTACCGGGTGAAGTTACACAATGGTCGCCAGAGAATGTGTGACTGTAACTAGCCACAGAGAGCTGTGTGTACATGTAATGTACATGTAATGTACGTACACACCAGCATAGACAGGTAGAATCCTGCATCTCTGGAGTGGATCTAGACACGGGTCTCTGCGCATACGTACACACACCTCATATTTGCGGACACACACGTCAGTTTCTGTGCATACACACACTAAATAAACACGTGGCAACATATGGCTAAACATATTTAGTTACTTCGCATACATGCACCGCAGACACCGTTATGGCGACGGATATTTTGCTTCTGTGTGTATATTCACTGGTTGCGCACACGGTTGGCAATATATGTCGATAAATACGTTTCGTTTCGTTGTATCCCCGCACTGCGAACACATTCAGCCATGTCTGGGGATGGGTATTCCGTTTCTGTGTCTACATCCCCACTTAGCAATATGTGGCGGTGTATATTTTGCGTCTGGATACACATACACACGGCATAGACATTTAGAAATACATAGCGGCGTCGAGTTGGCTTTTCGTGTCTCTCTCCATTACATACGCCGTTGGCAATAGGTGTTTATACACATGTGTGTTTCGTTTCTGTGTATCCGGGCTCGACGCACACCTTTAGCAGTAGACGGCCACGTGTGTTTTATTTCTTGGTATATATTCGCTAAATACACACTGGGCAATATATGGGGATACATGTATCTAGTTTCTGTGGCTACGTGAGCTACGTACACATCTAGAAATAATGTGTTTCGGTGTGTACACTCACTGCATTCACGTTTGGCGATACACGCCGGCTTGTCAGAATCCGAATTTAATTGTGTGACGGTTCTCACAGATAAAATCGAGGTTTATTTGTAAGCATTGTTTTAATTTGTGTCCATTTAAATTTTCACAGTTGCGGGGGAAATTACGGGCCCGGTCAGACAATTATTTAACGACGGGAAATGTTGAGATTCAAATAGTGAAAGATTTATAACCATTAAAACACAAATTGTCAATATCGCCTGCCAACATGTGCAAAGTAAATAGGCTTCACTCAAACTCTAATAGGTGCTCAAGCAGCGTGTGCCTTACTTTGCCTCGCTGTAATTTATTATTATTATTGATGGAAATATTTATTCTTTGGTTTGAAGGTCTACGGTGAAATTGGACCTTTACTGACATTTGCTGACAACAATTCCTCCTTCCAAGCCTCAGACGTGGTGCGCCAGATATGCCGTGTCTGTCTATAAATCCACCCAGAGCAATGGGTGGTGACTGGTCTCTAGATTCAGACACGCATCTCTTCAGATACACACGCGTCTTTTATACTTTACTGCCTATGTTGTATACCCCCCCCCCCCACAAACACTATGTGGCCACAAACACACACGCCCATATTTACAAACATTTCCACCTGCATCTGGTTCTCTCTCTCCACGCACGCCTAGGACTGTCATATATGTGTACGCCGGGGTGTTTCTCCGTGTGGAGCCAGCGAGCGAGCTAGGTTAGGAGGGTTACAGTCGGCGCACATGCTGGGCTGGCAAAGATGCCCAGTGGATACAGAGGTTCAGATAATCCAGAACGTCGCAGATACGGGTACGCCTCACGGAAAGAAATCTAAAGCTGCAAAAACCCAAACTTCCCGTCGTGCCGGTAGCGGGTTGTGCACCGGTCTTAGCCGGTGTTTTTATCGGAGACATTTCAAGCACACGACCTGATCTAAAAGGAGAATCTGCCTTACGAGCGGATCTTGCTGAAATGGGCAGTGTCTCCGCAGGACAGATACTATTGTCAAAGGGGCCGCTGCTTTGATGTCACCCCACAAGGTACAATCCAAAGCCGAGAGAAGAATTAGAATCGCCCGAGGCCTGTTCTAGTGGGACCCGCAATCGTTCTGGGTACGGACAAGTGTCTGAATCTCTGCTCTGCTTTCCGAGACTGCTCTGGGTGAAGGGGGAATGTGGCCCTGTTCACCCGGCTTTGGCTATCTGTCTAATCTATCTATCCCCATATACTCTATCTACCTATCTATCACCACACACCCCCTCTGTCTATCTATCTATCTATCTATCTATCTATCTATCTATCTATCTATCTATCTACGCCCATACACCCCCTCTATCTATCTATCTATCTATCTATCTATCTATCTATCTATCTATCTATCTATCTACGCCCTTACACCCCCTCTATCTATCTATCTATCTATCTATCTATCTATCTATCTACGCCCATACACCCCCTCTATCTATCTATCTATCTATCTATCTATCTATCTATCTATCTATCTATCTACGCCCTTACACCCCCTCTATCTATCTATCTATCTATCTATCTATCTATCCCCACCGACCCCATCTATCTATCTATGCCCATACCCCCTCTATCTATCTATCGATCGATCGATCTAATCTAACACTTCAACAAACAAGCACCAAAAACAGGGTAGCCTGATGTCCTTTTTAAAAATCGATTTCTCTGGAACGAAGCGGAGGGGCCCCTATATGTCCGAGGGGGTCTTAAAATGCAAGACAAGGCAGTGCTTGGAATCTGTTTATAATTCTGCCTGGAGGATTGGAAAGAGCAAATTTTTAAAAAGTATATTTGAAGGAAAATAAAAAAATCCCAAAGGAGGGGAGCTGGGCTGGCATATTTCTGACTATACAGCGAAAGAGGAGGGCGGATGTTTCGAATTTCTTGTCTGCCCAGAATTTCCCTTTCCTGCACGCAAGGCTCCCTCCAAAGCTGTGAACCCTGCTGCCATCTTAATTTAAAAAACAGGGACACAAGAAACTAGAGGCTTTCAAAGCCAAATCTGATGGCAGAGGAGGGTTGCCCTCCATAACCGGACCGGCTGCTTTCTAGCCAGTCCGCTATTGTTATTTTGAATAAACAGTCACGGAGAAAGGGACTGAACTAGCTCGGGCGGCTGGATCCTCAGCTTTTACACCCCTCGCCCTCCTTTCACACACAGAAATCTCCCGGGTCTCGGGGCCCGAGCTCGGGGCTTTCTCTGCTCAAGCCTCTCGGCGCCGACAGGCGTCGATTGAACACATGGTTGGAAGGGTCCCGGGGGTGCATTTATTTATTTATCTATTTATTTCCGTGGAGCAAGGGCTGTTCACAAACCCTCTTAACTCGATGATGCTTCCGTGACGCCTTTTCCCTGCGACAAATGTTTAAAACCCAAAGCAGCCCCCTGGGATTCTTTCCCCCTCCTCCCCCCCCACCCCGTGTGTTTATTTCGGGGAGAGGGGTCCCCTGCCCCCACCAGAGCTGAATGCATCGCAGAGACCGACCGTTTAAAAGAGAAGAAGATAAAAACGAAGGACTGGGGCAGAAAGGCTCGGGGGGGGGGGCGACCCCCCCCTTTTCCGCACCCCTCCGCACACTGGCGGGCGAAGCCCTCTCCCGAATACACGCGGTCTCCCAGATCTCTCAGTGGAGCCCCACGGGAGCTGGGAGGGAGGAAGAGGGATGCCGGGCGGCGCAGGGAAAGAGGCAGCTGACAAGCAGCCCCCCACACACACACACACACCCCGGGTCACCACCATCCCTTTTGCTTTGGTCCTTCGTGGGCAAGGGAGGCCACCGGAAAGGGACCGGGGGGGGCGCAGCCTCGCTCGCCCGGGCCCAGTTCGCCTGACATGTACCAAAGCCACACGCCGCTTTCCCCTTCCGGGCTGCTGTCTGCCGGGGGGGGGGGATGCCGGGGGGGGCGCTGGGATGGGGAGGGAGAGGACAGGCCCCGGGGCAGGGAACGGGGAGGGTTGGGGGTTATTATGGGGCGTGTTATTATGGGGGGGGGGGGATCGGTGCTGTTCCGGGGGAAAGGGAGCGAGGCTCGAGGCGCTTTATATGGGGCGGGGGTGGAGATGGAATTGCCGGTGAGGGTTGGATTGGAGGCCCGGATAGGATGGGTTACCGGGGGTAGGCAGGGGTGCAGAGAGTGGGGTATAGGGGATGGGATACAGAGCATGGGGAGGTGCAGGGGATGGGGTACAGGGAATGGGTTGAGGTGCAGGGGTTGGGATGTGGTTCAGGGGGTGGGGGTACAGGGAATGGAAGGGGTATAGGAGATGGAAATACAGGGGCAAGATGGGGGTACAGGAGATGGGGTTGCAGGGTGTGGGATGGGTTGCAGGGGATGGGGGTACAAGGGTCGCAGGGGATGGGGTACAAGGGGTGCAGCGAATAGGTTGCAGGGGATGGGGGTACAGGAGATGGGGTTGCAGGGGATGGGAGTATAGGGGATGGGGTGCAGTGGATGAGTTGCAGGGGATGGGGGTATAGGAGATGGCGTTGCAGGGAATGGGATGGGGTACAGGAGATGGGGTACAGGAGATGCGCCCTAAGGGTTGGGCTGGGGGCAGGGGCTGGGGCCGCGCTCCCCTTTTACCTCGCACCAGGATCCGGCGGCAGTAATCCGCTTCTCCTCCCCCGGACTGGCTGTCGCTCTCCGGGACGCACTCCTGGGACGAGCCGGGGCTGGCAGCCGAGGTCCCCGGGACTTCCTTGAGTCCGTGTGCGCCGTCGCCTCCCCGCAGCGCGCTCTCCAGCTCCCCGCGGGCGCCGCTCTTCCCCCGGGCTCGCTCCGGGGTGCCCGGCTCCCCCAGCAGCAGGGGGCTTCTGCCGGCCTGAGCCCCGCCATCGCTCATGCCTGTGGCCGCCTCGGAGGGATCAAACATCAAGAGACAGAGAGCGGGGCGCTGGAGGGGGGGAAGGGGGCAGCTCTCCTTCTGCCCCCCAAAACCAGGCGGGGATCAGCGCCCTGGCGCCGGCCGGCGGCAGCCCCGGGGTGCAGCTAAGGAGCCCTCCCCCAGGGTGAGCACCATGGTCGGGAGGACCCAGCGAGGTCCCCCCGCTCCCCTTCTTGCTCTCTCTCGCCCTACTCACGGAGACTTCCCTCCCGGGCTGCGGGGCAGCCTCGTTCCATTTAAACAGCCCCTTCCCCGGCCCCCCTGCTGCTCCCCCCCCAGGGGAAAAATACCCCCACGACCAAATTTCAATGGAGGAGTCAAGAAATGCCCGTGCCCGCCGGGCGCCTGGGGCGGGGGGGGGGAAGAGTTAAAAACTTTGAGAGTCCTGGTCCTTTCTCACGTACCCCCCTCTCCTCCCCCCTCCCCCCAGCACCCCTCTTCCTGGCAAACTTCAAGAGCAGCCCCTGCCTCCTGCGCGGACCGCTCCTTCCGCGTCTCCTTTCGCTCCTGTCTCTCTCTGATGAGCAAAAAAGCGAGGAGCAGGCAAGCCAGCCAGTGTCTCGCCAAGCCCTGCCTTCACAGCTCCGCCAGCGAGGCGGGCCGGACTTTCACAGCTCATTCGCGTGCACAGAGATCGATCCTGCCTTGGGAATGTGGGTGGATTTGGGGGGGGGGGGAAGGGGAGGGAGTGAAAGGGTGAGGGAAGGGGGGGGGTGATTAATTAAAATAGCCCAGGATATTTTTCAGACGCCCCCTCCTCTTCTCCATCTCTCATCCCCCGGCCGATAAATCCGAGAACAGCCAATCATCGGCGCTAATCGAAGGGATGAGGAAGTCCTCCTGGACCCGCGGCTCGCAGCGGCCTGAATGAGCCGGGAAAGCAGGAGAGCGAGCCGGGCGAGGGATGGGAGTAAAGAAGCAGTTTGAAATTGACTGCTTGCCACACACGTAATTTCCTGCTGCAGACTCCCTCGCTATTGATTGGCAAACAAAGAGCCCCTGTGCTTTGCCCCCATCGGCAGGCGAACCCCCTTCGGCTCCTGGCCGCGGGAGCTGGGCAGGGCCCGGCTATAAAACACCAGGGCGAGCCGGGCATTTTCAAGGTGTTATTTTGGGGGGAAGAGGAACAAAAGGCCCCGGCCTGGTCAATTACTGACCCGGGTGCTTACCGCGCCGCTAGCCCCCGCTGGAGACAGGCGCTCAGTCCAGGGGGAGGCGGGGAGAGCCCTGGCGAGCCTGGGGTCCCAGATTTCTGAACAATGCCTGGAGCAGCTTTCCTAACCGCTGAGCAGCACTCAAAGTAACACTTACCCTGGGCTGGGCGGATGCTTGGTGGGGGCTGCTTTGGAAAACAGACCCCGCTCCTTAGTGTTATAAGCACCATTTGGTTTTTTTTTCCCAAAGATATGTGACCGGGGTATTACTTGTTTGCTTGATTGACTATTAGACTGTTAGAGAATTGCTCCTCCGCCCCCCCAGGCAGAGTACCTTCTGCCCTCATCGCTGATCCAAGCGGGCACTAGATTGCCCCGCTCCTAAGGGGGGGTCTTTTCGGTAAATGTTGTGATTGAGACCGTCTGGTGCGGACAAGTCAGAGCGATTCCCGGAGTTGTCAGTGCCCCTCTTCAGATCTGGTCACTGAGTGCTCCAGAAAACCCCGGCTCTAGGCAGGGCCACGTTCGCCTCTCCTTAGAGCTCAGTTCTCCATTCCGGGGGTTACCGGTGCCTTTATGATTGAACGTAGAGGTGGGGGCGATTCCCCTCCGGGAACGGCCAGCGCAGCCCGGGAGTTCGGAAAACACACGGGAGGGTTTTTTATTTGCAATCGCTGATGTGCATTGCCCAGACACAATGGCTTTCTGCCTCTGCTCCTGATGGAAGTTCGACCCTCAGTCTATCCCTGGGCCACCCCTGTTTCCACGCCGGCGAGCTCTTCCCGGGGTCGGGGGAGGAATGGCAGAGATGGCCATTATATTGCAGCCCCTCTGAGCTTTTCGCTCCTTACGGCGCTATGCTAAATTCAGAGTTTCCCAGCCTCCCTTCACTTTCTGCATAGTCCCACTGACTTCTCGGAGATATTCCAGCAACTCGTACAAACGACCAAGTGATTCAGAAAGGGGGGCCTGAAATTGACCACCAGACCTTGAATCGTTCTGATCGGGGGCCTGATTCATTCCTCTCACCCTGCAATAATTCCGAAACTTTGCCATAACGGGACTTTCGATGGTTCAAAAATGTCCCTCCATTCAATCACTTCGCTTCCTTCTCGCTCATTGACACTTGGGCTCCCCAGCGCCCGAGGTTTAAAGTTTATAGAGACCGGAGGGGAAAGAATGTGGAAATTATTTCTCACAACGAGCAGATTTTATTCGAAACAAAATAGGGCTCCCAGGCTGCCTCTTCCCTTGCACACTGTACCCCACACAGCACATCTTTGCGGCTCGATGCAAAACAAATCAGTTCCCAAATATTGACTGTCCAACTTCCCCTGAACTGCCTGTCCCCCCCCCCCCCGGAGGTCGGGTTTGAAGGTCAGCTAGGTTGGTGCAAAACTGGCATAATCTCTTTGATTTACACCGCTATAACTGATCGCAGAATCCGTTTTATGGCTGGGCTCCTTGCAATAAATTGTTCGTTACAGCCATTTCAGAGGCTCGGTAAAAAGAAAAGCCCGGACCTTTTAAATGGTTTTGAGTGAACGATTTTTGTAAAGAAAGACCTAGGCGTGTTGGCATTTTAAGATCCTGCAAAATACAGTGGAAAATCGGAAGCAATTGTTTTCTTTAAACTCACCCTCCTTGGGTTGGGGTTTTTTTTTTTTTTTTTTTTTTCTTTCTTTACATAATCAAGTAAACTTTAAATAAAAGACGAGACCGGGCAAATGAACCGCGCCATTTAATTTGGGAAAGCCTCAAAATCCAAGTGATTTCGGTAACAATTCCTCTGGATAAAACAAACAAACCTGCCTTTAATCCAATTGGCAACTCACTGACAGCCCTTCTCGCGCAATCCCCGAGCGAGGAACTTTTGGGGGGGGTTACAAAGAAATTTCCGCCGCGTTTCTTTGAAACTTCACAGATGGCGGATTTTGCTCAACTGGTGTCAGCACCATAATTTACCACGCAAAAGAACAATCTGTCTGATTTGGCTATTTTTTGTGGGGGAGGGCGGCGTGTACGATGGGGTGGGCATGGGTTTGACTGGAATACAGACAGAGCTATCATTGACATCCGAGCTGTATAATGACCCACGTTAAATCCTGGGGTAGATTTTTTGTGGGACTCACCCGGATAAATAAGATCCTCTGATCTTATATATATATATATATATATGTTCCTATTCGGATTCTGTGCGCGGGGAGATGAGGCCTTAAAATGTGAGAACTAGGGAGTGCGGTTAGGTTTCCACTTGAGTTCTGCCTGGAAAATTACTGCAGGATCGGGCCCCGGGAGCTGCACAGTTATTTACAAAATAAGCCGTGTTCCCCAACTCCCACCCCCCTGAGGGAAAAAAAAATCTAGGGACACTGGAAGATCTCTAGGTTGGGAGCTTGAAGCTGGTAGAACTAGTTCCACTCCCCGCTCCTACCCAGAGAGTCCCTCCGGGGAGCTTCCCTCCTGCGTCGGTTCTGAGGTTCTGTACAGCCAGCCAACCCCAGGGAACGGGGCGCAGAATAAAGTGAAGGGGGGTGGGCTGTTGGGCTCTTACTGGGGGTTTTCTGGCGAAAGGGTGTTTCCCCAGAGGAGATTCTCAGCCCAGCGTGCAAAGCCCGAAGCAGCGAGTCCCCGCCGCCGCCCCCTTCTCCCTTCCGGATCCATCTGCTAGTTCTGGGGCGGTTTTGCATGATTCGGGGCTGGTTTATTTCAGGTCACACCAGAATGACTGCAAATAATAATTGGCAACACTCCATCCCCGCCCCGCTTCTGTATCCCAGTCTCAGCCTGCAGATAGTCCCTGCGCCCGGGAGCCATTCCGGTTTCTGATGGGGGGACTGAAGGAGAGCAGCTCCTGGGATCTGCATTGAATGATCTGACAATTTCCTTACAGCCCCCCTCCCTCCCCGTTTCTGATCATTTTCATCTCATCATGTACCAAGGCGAGGAGTGAGTTTGTAATCGGTCGAAGTTCTGGACCTGATGATATGTACAAATCCAGAGATCATGCCTAAACTATACACGTATATATATATATATATAAAAGCAAGGTGAACATAGATTAAATTAAACTTTTTCGGCTGGGAGGGTGATTTAAAAATAACAGGGAGGAAGAAATGTCGAAGGGCAAATTGGGATGAATCTTGTGAACACCGCGATGCTGAGGCGAAGGTACATTGACATGTTGCCGCTCTTTGCAGAGACACGAGTTCTTGCCCCTCAGAACAGGCCCCCGCAGAAATCAAAGGAGCAGAGAATGATCTTAAAAACAAACACACAAACACACACACACGGGCCTGGGATGACTCTCACTGATCTGAGAAAGTGGCTTTAAAGCCTCTGTTCGTTAACAGGACAGGTAAGTGGGGAAATCAAACTCAGTTTCCAGTTTTCAGAGTAGCAGCCGTGTTATTCCCTACGCCCCTGGGTTTGGACCTGGCGTTTGCTCAGTGAGCTGGCCTTGGTTCTGCAATTCCTCGAGTCTGGGTTCCATGATCTCTTTCACCTGTTTATTTCTACCTGAACGGGTTAGGAGCTAGGACATGGTGCATCTTAAAGGGGGAGGAATGTCTATTCTATTCTGATTTTTAAGTCTGGGAACTTTGAAGAAGGTCTCAGTAAATCCCATAGCAACATTTAAAGGCCACCTGGGTCGATCTGCGGTGAAGATCCAGAGGAGGAAGGGACCGCTAGTCCGGGGCCCTGCAAAGAGAAAAGAGACCCGGAGAAGTTTCGAATTCAAAGGTGCATTCCAGCACCCGTCCTGCTTTACGGAGTTTATGAAATACCCGGTGTTGAGCTGGCACCTGGTGTGTCAACAAAATAAATCAGTGACTCAAGATTAGACACCGAAATCTGCTCAAACAACTGCTGAGGGGCAGCGCCGGGGGGGGGGGGGAGCGATGGACCTGAAAGTCCCACCTGAGATTTCTGGGAGTGATCCATCTCCCATTTGCTCTTTGCCATTTTCCGAAGGTGTCTCCGCCACCAGAGACTTCTCGTGGCTCGACCTACAAGGCGCCTCGTTTCTATGCCTGTCATTTAAAAATGCTGAATAATGGTGGGGGGATAAAGATCAGGATCAAAGT